CAGTCTATTTTGGGAATGAATATAGGCTTTCCCACCTCAAGTGCTGCTGTTCCTTTGTCATCCTGTCTTTCCATCTTGTGTCTTAATACATAAGTGCTACTTGTGTCTCAATTTTGTGTCTTAATACATAAGTTTTATATGTCTCCATACATAAGTACTAATACAGCAATGCATAAGATTCAGGGGGAATTATGTGGAAACTATGGATGTGAATATTTGCATGAATGTGCTGGACTTTGAAAAGGCAGCCTCAGTAGTGACTTAGATTCAAGTTGCCACCTTGCCACGGACATGCTCACTGTTTGACTTTGGGCCAGCCATTTTCTCGCAGAATAACCTAATAGACAGGTTTATTGTGACAAAATAAGAAACTATCTCTGGGCAAAACAGACTTGAGGTCTAAGAAAAAGATACAGCCTACATGCAGTAACAAATAAATGTGTCAGTGTGCTTAAGAGAGCGGTGAGTTTGGGGGAGTCTTTGGGTTTAAGTGTACATATGCAACTGCTTAACTCTGAATTAAATAAATATATACGGGCACAATTGATTTTGAATGAATGTGTAAGAGTTTGTGTGATCTTTCACATACATGCCTTCGATCTTTATATGTCTTTAATGTTTTAGATCATTTCAACTTCTCTGCCCATTTTTAAATACACTCAGGCAACTGTTTATATACCCAGGCATTTCTTTACCTAACTCCCCACCTACATTTTAAGCACCGTCATTCACATACCCCTGAAAGCAAGCCTAGCTTTTAGTTCAGGAAAAGTTGTGCATTCTTTCTCTAGTCCCAGAAGCTAAAAGGATAATAGTCAAGACTATAAAAGACTCACCTTTTCTTGGCTTGCTCCACTTGGGAAGAAGCTCAACAAAAGCTGCTGCTTCAGCAGGTACACTGTACATAGGTGATAGATTCATTATTTATTTAAAGTATTCTAAAATACTCAGTAGCTATTGTGTTTAATGCATATTTTATTATATATTGTTAACAAAACAAGTAAATAGAGAGGTCCTCAGTGAGTTTAGAACCTGCTTGATTTCCCTTTAACCCAGGATGGTAATGTTCTGATTATATTTTTCAAGATATATTTATGGTGCATGGCTTTTTTGAGATTGTATCTTACTAGGTAACCTATAGTTGGCATTATTTCATAGATGCCTATTTCAGCTTCATGAATATTTATTGAAATCAAGTTTTGTCTACGTTAGAATCTGAAAAATTACTGCTGTTGGGGAATATTTAAGATTTTTTACTGATTATCAGTTATTGCTACACTAATGTAAAGCTAAGCCACGCGATCATAATGATCATCTGAAGTTGGCAGTTGTTTATATGTAATCAAACATCTACAGTGCATCAAATATTGGGCAACAGCAAGTAAAATGTGAGCAATAAGGTAAGCTTAGTTAGAGATAAATAGTTTTTTATACTTCCCCTGTAATTCTTTTGCTATTACAGGTCAAAAATTCTCCTAAGGAATTTTATTTGGGCTAAAGGCAGCTGGAAATTATTGTGCATGACACTACAAAACTATTCTAAGTAAATCATTGGGTGAAAGGATACTATTAACCCATCAGGAGATCAGCATTCTACAAAGCTGGCAAGGTAGTGACTAACAGGATAACATAACATTATTGTAGGGTCTTTCCAAATGACTTTTTTAGCACAGCTAATTGCACAGTTGTTGCGCATGATCCTGACATGTTTCTCAAGGTTGCGCTTTTTCCGTGATCTCTCATTTTCTCAGTTTGCAAGATACAGTATTTCGTGCTGAGAAAACAATATTTTTTTATACAATCAAGAGTAAATATTGAATTACCCTGGAAAAATATAACTTTTTTCACATTTGAAAATAGTTCATAATACTTTTTATAACCCTAGGGGTGATTTCATGCATTTTTCCAAGCAGTTTAGATCAGTATTTTTCAACCATTTGAAGACAGAAAACTTGGAATCAGTGTTATATTCAGCCAATCAATATTTATCTTCATTAAAATGAGTATCTAAAATCTGTCTTCACAAAAATACATACTGTATTATAGAAGGAAGGTATGTACTGTAGTAACCCTAATTTTCTTCACTTAAAAGTTTATATTTTATGTGAACAGTGGTCCACAAAATTTTAAGTGATGAGTTTTCCCCCCCTTCAATACTTTCAATGTTGTACCTGCAGGAGGTTATTTATTTATTGGATTTTACTTCCCATATCATTCATGTATAATTTATTTATTTGATTTAAAAAATTGAATTTACAAACCCTCTACCACCCCAAACTTCTCTTTTAGATCTTGGGAACAGTTCATATAAGACCACCTATTTGTGCAAATAACATTTTTGTTTTGCAGAATGAATCTTAAGAAACAGTGGTTTACATTACAGATACTTTCCTTTCAATTGATCCCAGTGTATAAAATATATACACTGTTTATCTATGGAGACATGAGGATATTACCTAAAATTCTTAAAGATTGCTTTTCAATAAGTTTGTATTTAGAGATGTCTGGATGGTTTTCTCCATTCAGTTCCTATCCAAAGCATCAGAAAAAAGTTTGAAGACTTAAGAATATAGGTAGAAAGAGATTGCTTTTCTGTTATATACATTTCAGCTTCGGTGCAGTAAATTATAGGGATTCTGGGATAATATAATAAAAGCTTCATAGAAAACATTATTTGGAAAGGAAGTTTTGAAGTAAAGGATTTAAAGAGAGACTTTTGTCCAAATACATACATTAATATCTGTGACTTTCTGCACTGTGATTGAGTACAGTCTCATAATAATCAATAATCAATATATGGGTAGCAGTAAAGGACATAGTTGGTAACTCATCTTCAAGTCATAACTTCTCTTCTCCACTATGTCAACATAGTACTCAAGGCCAGAGCAAAGTCAAAGATTACTTACAACCTGCAGATTGATGCTGAAAACGTGTGCCAGATTGAGCATATCAAACCACGATACTCTTAGAAATGTCTCAATTAAATTTCAATTGGATAGGCCTCTTTAGAAAGCTGGTTTGTTATTTGAGACAAATACCATGTTCTGGATCTCTGTGCCAACTCCAAGATCTGTTCTCATAGCTTTGGCAGCTCTAAACTCCAGCTATTCCTACCAATGCTAGGTTGGCCTGCAATAAACTTCCTTCATCCATTACTTGATTGTGAGGAGAGGGATGATCTTGCTTGCAACACCAAAACCCGGTTGTACCATGGGGGAGGGTCCCCTCTCAGAAATGTGTCCTCCAGGTTACAGGTATAGCACAAATCCACAAATTTGTGTAACCACAAATCCACAGCAGGGATACCAGAATGGCTTTTCTAATCCTGGAGCCTTAGGCAGCCTTTAAAAGAACTGTCACAGACATTGAAAGGTGTGAGACCCTCTGTGAGATTTAGCCACATAAGTTGAGATTGCTGTTTATTTATCTTTCTCTTTGCAAGGTTGTGGCATCCCCTCCAAGCTCCTCAATTGTGTGGCTATGTTTGCACTGCAGTTCCCCAGGCTACTAATCCTAGGGAACCTCAACTTGACTTGTTTGGGTCCACAGTTAGAGATGGCTTAGAAGTGCCTTATGGCCAATATATCAACCAGGGATGTAATCCGACTTCTTGAATACTCAGCCCACAGTGCAGATCACTTATTAAATCTAGTCTTTTAGCATTGTGATTTGGGCTCAGGGTATATTAACACCATCCATTGCAGGAATGTGAGGCTTCTTTGATTAGCCTCGTTGGGTTACTGATGGAGCCAGTTGAATATCAGAAGGAATGTGAAGTTTTTCTAAAATCTCTGGGGCACAGTTTGGTTGAGCTTTAGTTGCAACTTGGAACAAGATGTAACAAGTATCATATGCAAACAATGAAGCAACTTCACTTTCCCACTTGTATTCTGTTTGCAAACAGCTGTCTGGCATACCATTTAGTGTCCAGGCCCCTTCTGGACCAAGGAGAGGCCAAGGCAGCCTTACAAGGCTGCTTTAAAGAATATTCTTGTGTCTATCAAAGTTGCTCAATTTGAATGTTGACTGGGTAACCCCTATAGAGATTATTTGGGAAGAGTTTGAGTCAATTATTCCTGAGAAAATAAACAAGATCCTCAGGGCTATTTCTTTTGCCATCTATGTTCTGAACCTATAACCTTTCTGGTTGATCAGGCTTCCTTAGAAGTGGAATACAGTTGGGTTGGAACAATGCTTAATACCTCATTGTGGGAGTGAGTGGTGTTACCTGCCTTGAAGTACACATTGAGTGATATGCCCACTCCTCATAAGGCTATCCTTGGACTTGACCATGTTGGGCAACCTTTGCTCAGTCTCCAACCTTTCCATTTTAGAAATGATTACTGAGAAGGTGGTAGGCACTTAGTTCCAGGTCCTGGATAAAGTGGATATGGACCCTTTTCAGGCAAGTTTCAGGCCAGATTACAGGACTGAGAAAACATTGGCTAACTTTGTGGATGACCTGTGTGGGGTCAAGATTAGGGTGATACATCCACATTAGCCTTCCTAGAACTCTCAGCAGCATTCTGTATGATCAACCATGGTATTCTTTTAGGCCTGCTTTAGGTTTGGGAGTTGGGAAGTACTATTTTGCAATCATATTAAAAATGAATTCAGTTCCGAATTTAAACGATAAAGTGCTCACGTTGAACGTTTTTTCTGTGACAAGTTATGACTTTACCATATAAGAGTAATATGCCATTACAGAAGTTTACGATTAAGGTGCCAAGTGTAAATATTAAATTGAATTAATTATGAGAGAGCATAAGTACAATAAAGGATAGAATAGGTATGCATAATATTGCTGAAGAAGAGAAAATTAAAACACAGTTTATGGTTTATAGTCATTCATAGTGTTGAAGTTCAGGGTCTAAGAACATCTGTGTATTCTTTATTTACATAAATTAAACTGCAGATTTAATTGTGCTGTGTCCTTTTTGTTTGTTTTCTATATCCAAATTAAAGTTGTTAAATTCAGGAGAGTCTTTTTTTCTTTCCAGTTTACGTGTAAATCTAGATATGGGAAAAGCAGCATATGGTTGGATGATTATGAAGGATGATAATATACCTGGAACAGTTGTCAGGACAAGTACCATACCTGAAGAGTTGGGACGCCTTGTATATCTACTGACAGATAAAACAGGTACATCTTGGAAATGTATTTTGTGAATGAAGTTTATTCAGAAAATTACTAGTGTCAATGTATATTAACCAGTATAACTTGATTAAGTGCTTCAATATAATTGTCAAATTAGTTCCTCTTAACATGAGTGTTTTGGGACATTTAGGTGATTAACTAAAAAAATACAATATGGAATTTAACTAACCAGAATGTCTCTGTAGATGGAAAACTGCAGTATATGTGCAAATTACAAGACTATGCTCAAAATGAAAGTAATATGTAGAGTTTTAAGCCAAAATTCCCAAGGCTGTCAGTTATTGCTATTTTGTATCTAAATTGGTAAAAATAAAGTAGGAGAGACAAGAGAAAAGTTGCAATGGATATTGATAAGTATTGGATTCATTAGTATTTTCACATAGTTTCAAAGATACTTGAATTATGCCATAACATATCTAATTTCCCCATTAAAACCTGGTTGCTTAATTTCAAAAGCTATGATTCTTTCAGCCATTTCTATGAAGAGTCTCTTGATAGGTTTATACCTTCTTATCACATACCATGTGGCTTGCCTATGTTGAAATTTTTTAAAGAATAAAGTAAAAGCTTACAAATACCTTACTGTGGCTCTAGTTTCTTTTGAAATGATTAAGAATTATTTGTAAAGTCTAAAGTGCATTACATTACTAACATAATTGCAAGGTAGCCCTTTGTATGATTGTAAATTGGGTTTGTGCTTCATCAATAAGCTTTTTGACAAGACGCGTCCATCACTGTGGCTCTCTCATTTGCCACAGCAGAATAGAAAATGAAGTATCCCAATGATTGCATTATAGTTTCCTTATTGTGGGACAAGAAAGCAATGTGGTATAATTAGGTTTGATTGGAGTGCATGTTTCCGGTAAGATCTGAAATTAATGATGTTGCTATAGTGACACATCTGCGGCCACCAGTGCGTGAAACATAAAGTAATTCATTCGACAAGAGAAGACATCTGTTAACCGCAAGGATGCAGAGCATATTGACACTGACCAGAAATACTAGACGTTATGTGATAAATGAACAAATGATGCTTAAACAGGAGGACAGATAATTTGTACTTAATCTGCTGGGAGAACTTTAATCTTCTCACTGGCTGCATTTGACAATACCATTGTTTAAAGAACAATGCTGCAGAGAACTCATAAATTTTAAAACTTAACTCAGGGTGCAGCCTATTAAAGCAATACATTAATTCCTTTGTTAGAGAGTTTTTATCTTCATGTAGAACAAAGCTATTACTAAAAACACCCACTAAAACAACAGGTTCTTTAGGACTCACATTTTAATTATAGCATCTATTACCCAAAGTGCCAGGTTGTTTGGACTTGAATCACATATAAGTTTGACAGAAAGGCGTCATCCATTATTGGGGGAATGCTGTTTCCAGTGTTTTCCAAGGGCAGCTGAGCATGACATTTCAGTCTCTCTAGGGCATGAAAGTTCCTACAACAAAGAAAAAACAAAGATACTTGGCAATATTTATTTAATGTTTTTGACATCTAGAGTGTGATACTCCAACTTCCCTGCCCTTCCTGACAGCAACCATAGTATTCAATTATAACAAATAAAAACCATCTTCCAAGCACAGTTATTTACTAATGCATATGCGCGCATTTGAGTGCTGTAATTAACATTTTAGCGGCTGTGTGGACCAAATGAGATACTTAACACATGTAATAGTTGAACAGATGCATAGAGTAATGGAATTCATAATCTACTGGGGAAGCCCTGTAATAAGAAATAATGTGTTAACACTGGAGGTTTGTGTTTAAAATTTATCTACAGTTAACATATGTTAAACATTGCATGGTAAAAGTAGGAACATCCTTTCATGAAATTAATGCAGGTGGTGAGCTTATTATTTTGGATATCCAAGTATATTTTCTTATAATTATCCATATTTTGGGATATATTTGTAATATTAGCTTCTTCCATTTATGCAAGTAAGTGGGAAACTGGGTAAAGTCTTCTTTCTCAATTGTAAAACTCTCCCAGAAGAGATCTAATTGGGCTGTTATATTTTTTGTTTAATTTTAATTTTATATTTCTTATGGTAGTTTTTAATGTCTTAGTTATGCCCATTGTCATTAAGTAGTATACATGTATTTATATATTTATTAGACTTTTATTCCACCTTTATTATTTTATAAGTAACTTAAGGCAACAAAAATGCTTAATATTCCTGCCTCCTGTTTTCTCCACAACTCTGTGAGGTGAAAGAGGGTGATTGGCCCAAAGTCACCCAGCTGGCTTTCATGGCTAGGGCAGGACTAGAACTCCAGATCTCATGGTTTTTAAAATGGTGCCTTAACCACTACACCAAGCTCTCAATTTTTGTTTGGTTTTTTAAAATTGCACCCTTATTTTAGCGTTCTAAACTATTGCATAGTGTTCATTCTTGGGCAAAGGACAACTCAGAAATTTTTAAATATATTTCTTATTTTTTAAAATAAATAAATGTTTACCATAATTTCTTTAGCTTATTATCTAGATCAGTGCCAGGTTTCTTTATTTGTGTTTAACCATATTTTTTTATGAACTCTGGCATGGCTTCTGGTGCAAACATCATCAGTCCCTTTACCTTGCTCATCTTTTTAAAATTATGGATAATGTTGTATATAGTATGTTCTCATATTCTTCATCATACTTCCTCCAGGGAGCTGAAGGAAGTAAATGTATGTAAAATACATTTACATGTAACATATGTAAAATGTTGGAAGAACATCTTCTGCAGAAGATTCTGTATTACACTTAGACTTGAAATTCTAGTGCCTTGCAAGATTCTTTTCCTGATAACTATCTTCCATAATTTTTTATTTCCTGGGGTATGTAGGGCCCTATGAGAATGGATTTATCAATTTCAGCAATACAACCACACGAGGACTTATTTTGTCAGTATTGCTTCAAGTCCTAAACGTATTCAAATAAGGAGAGGCATTTAGGACAAGACCTGCTGGCCCTTCTTAAAATGCAATTGTTCCACATTGATACACTGAATTGATTAATGGAATTCCCCCAGGACTCATTTAAAACTCTTACAAATATTTATTAAAGATTCCTATGCATATTGCATTCTTCATCTGGATGCCATTAAAGTGATGTTTCTTTCTATGAATTGGATGAGTACTTATATTTCCACATGTAGAATGATCAAATGTAGTGGCTGATGCACTTTGCAAGGAACTTCAGTTTTCTTCATTTTTCATTACAAATTAGCAAGATCATCTTCAGAGCTTGGAAGTTGTAATCAAATAAAAAGTCATGTCAATACTACCATTAAATTAGACATAGCAAATTTCAGGCCTATATTTATGCTACCAAATTTCCCCATCAGGCCATAAAAACTCTTGAAAAACATGCTTGAAATATTTTATCTTGTTGTAAGTGTTCACCACAAAAACTCCTTATCTATTTTTAGCTAGTGACCATGGATTTGGGAGAGAATTTACATTTTCTAGCCTCTTCCCATTTACAATTCCATTCTATCTTACTTTCATCAGGTCCACATCCTCTAACATATGTTTTCCCCTGTGTTTAATGATATAATTGCAGGCAAAATTATTCTAAAGAACATGTTTAATAAATAGCAATTTAGAAATCTTTCTTATTAAAGTTTCTGGAATTCACTACTTATCATAAACAAAATTAAAACATTAGTAAAATTCCAAAACCTGGTTTTAAAATGATACAGAAAATTACATTGTAATTGTTTTGTCCAACTATATGTGATAAAAGAGCTCTAGAGTCTACAAGCTGGGGATTATAACTTTTCCTCTATGTTAGAAAATCTACATACAAGGGGGCAAGATATCATAGGTCCATTTTTGTCACCACAGGAACAGTGTTGGGAAGTTATTCTGGGGAGTTTTTCTTCACAGGTGAACTATTTTTGTTACTTGAATTATCTAACAAAAGAGTCCTATTCTCCTATTTATTTTCAGTTCCTTTTAGCAACTAAATTTATCACTGCTAGCAGTAGGCAAAATACTTCAAATGCAGAAACATTTTCTGCTCAAAACAACTGGCTCAAGTCTGAAATGGGTTGTCCTAATCATTCTGGAAATGCTCAAAACAACTCTATTTCAGGTGCAATTCTGAGCTTGAATTGGCTTCTGGTGGCTGGAAAAACCCATTTTGAAACCAAAAGTACTATTTCAAACTTGAAATGTTGTGTTTTGGGCTCAAATAACATTTCAAGTTATTTTGCTTACCCTTAATTTTGTCTTTCCATCCTGCCACCAAGAAATGTTTGGCATTCACATCTGTTGGTGAAATTTGTTTGAAGAGGGAGGTTGGTTGGTTGGTTGGTTGGTTGGTTGGTTGGTTGGTTGGTTGGTTGGTTGGTTGGTTGGTTGGTTGGTTTAAACCATTATAGGCTATCCCACTCTCAGTGACTCTCAATGACATATAAAGATGCCCATACTTTACTTCCTAATGAATTTTTTGAATTGTTTGAAATTATGGTGTGTGCAAACTCCACATTTTTCAGTAAGGATGACTTTTTAATAGCTTTGACTTCAGTTTGATGAGTTTGCAATTTATTTACTTAGCACTCTCACCCAGCACATGATATAAAATACTAAATATTGCTTTTGCAGTATTGTCAAAACTTGTTATTTTTCCAGTTATTTTCTTTTATCCAATGGATGATAGCAAGTACACTTTCTATATTTGTTTTTGGAAGTGTTAGTGTTATCTTATTAAGTTACCATTTTTGTTAAAATGAATTAAATTCTCAACATTTATCCCACTGATTGTTGCTGCCCTCAAGCTATGTGGCACATTGAGGAAAAAATCTTTTCTTGATCTTATTGCCTTTTCATAAGTGAAATGGGTGCCTTAGAGAACATTATATGTTATATAAATATTTCCTTTTGTTCACCCTTCTACATTTTTTCCGATTTTATCCTTTTACAGGTAATCCTCAACTTATGACTATAATTTCAACTGAACTTCCATTAGCAAGCAATGCAATTGTGAAGTGGGTCTCACCTGATTTTACGACCTTTTTCATTAAACAGTCATTAAACAATTCACTGCTGTTGTTAAATCACTTAGTCATTAAGCGAATCTGGTTCCCCCATTGTTTTTGCTTCTTAGAAGCCCATTAGGAAGGTTGTTAATGGTGATCATGTGACCCAAGATGTTGCAACTGTCATAAATCCATGCCATTTGCCAAGCACTTGATAATATGACTGTAAGGGCACCGTGACAATCCTAAGTGCAAGAACCTGCTGTAGGTCACTTTTCAGTGTCATTCTAAGTTTGAACAGTCAGTTAATGAATGGCTATAAATTGAGGACTATATAGGAGTGGAATAGTATTTCCTTTATCTGTTGAAACATACTACAAGATTCTATACTGCTTAATGTAATTAACCCCAGTACTACTGCTACCGGTTTACTTCAGTCTGGCGACAGTACTGAATTCAACAAAAGTAAATGAAATACGAGCAACCACAGTCCTACACACCTGTTTGGATCTCCAGCCTTAGTCCTCCACAGGAGGCAAGAGTGGTAAATGACAAAATGTGCATTGCAATTTATTATGCAAATCACCTGACTGCAGGGGACATTAATAATAAAAAAAGACTAAGGTTTGCATTCTCCCTTTGCAACACACATTTTTCTTTTTTTTCTCTTTTTTTTCTTTTCTTTTTCTGTCATTGAGTGCCAGATACCAGATTTGTATTTCCCCAGCTTTTATTGACCTGTTTTGACCAGGTATTTACATATGCAAAAAGTGATGGAACACAACTCCTACAAATTCTGTGATATAAAAATAGAAGCAGTAGAATCAGATATTCCATAATAGATGTTTTTATTTTAACTCACTATTTTCATTATTATCAAAATCCAAGTCAAATTTTCATAATGTCTCAATTATAACCCATAACTGTCTCAAATTCAGGATAATTCAGTGTATGGACAAATAGCAGAAAAATGAAATCCTTTATATAAGAATTTATTAATCATCAGATGAAGACTGAAATACTGGTAAACCTTGGCTTAGTAAAAGCATTTTAATAATAATAAAAAGTGCATTTTTATTGTGCCTGACTCTGAGATATTGGGTTTAGGAAGAATATCATTTACTATTGTATTATGGGTAAAATCCATCTTGATTGCCTTTAACCAGATTAGAAATTTATTCTTCTTATTACAATACTGCTTCTACCAAATTCTTACTATATTAATATATAATTGCATGGAGATGCAGAAAAATAAATACTTATTTGTAACTTTTATTTTCAAGTAGTTATGACATATATTCCTCCTTCCCTATCGCAGCTGTTCCATTTCATCTGGTTGTTTCTGTTACCAACTAGAAGAAATACTGTGTGGGTTGGTACTTGCCCTGCTCTTTGAAACGGAGATGAGCACCACCCCCTAGAGTTGGGAACAACTACACATATGTACAAGGGGAACTTTTATCTTTTTATAGTTTGGCTTTTTCTTAATAGTCATTTTTAGTGAATATCATTATTTTATGTGAAATTAAATAATATTACTAAATCTGATCTGCCCATTGATGCTATTTTCTTTAAGCATGATGTATTTCTATCCAAACATAGGGATAATGCCCCATTTAATAGAGTAAAACACCCAACCAAAACAGATGTTAGAATTGTTACATCAGGAGGATATCCATTGGAACTTTGGGGTAGGATCTGACTTTGAAAAACGTATAGGTTTGCCAGAAATAAAAAAAAGATGATGTGTGAGCCAGAAGGTTTCTGTTTCTGCCCTAAAATAATAATATTTCTCCTTTTATTTAATATAAAGTCCTATTTTTATTTTAAATACTGTTTTAAATGTTAAAGTTTGTTCTGCTGAGAAATCCAGCCCATTTCTGAAAAGTACAATTCAAGCACAATTCCAAATCCTTGTTTTTAACCTGAAAACTTTTTTTCAGTTCTGAAATCTGCATATCCCTGTTTAAATCATCTAATGAGACACCATTTATGCTTTCTAAGGAGGTTGGATGTACATGTTGTTAGAACAGGTCTATTTAGTGATAATAAGTTCACATATCTAAAAATAGTATGGCGACTATAAAGATAATAATATATTATGGGGTGTGGTAAAATGGGAGTAATTTTAATATCCCCATTGTCCCAAAAAATAGGTTTTGCCCTTTTCTGAGTCTTAATTATTATGTATATAAACTTGCTTGACTGATTTAACAAATGAATCTGTCCATTGATGACTTCTTCACTCTGCCTTATCATCACACCCTATATCACCCACTCTTCAATTAAAGCTTTCTTGGAATCAAGGATGTCGCTGTTGACAGTGGTGAACATAATGTCACTCCTTGACTGACACCCTATAGTTTCTTACAGATCGGAAGTAATACTAAAAGCATACTATTTGTGTTGATTCTGAAATTCAAGGTTTGGCACCAATTAATGGGCTAAATTTGTTGAAATGGGAAGTAATTATAATTTTCAGTTGCCTGCTAGAGGTAGCATGCTATCTGCTTTACCACATGGGTTTTTTTAACATGTTTCCTCAAGTAATTGTTTATTTTTTTCTAAAGAAATACAGTTCATAACTAAATAATTTTTCCCACAATTCTTATTAATATTTATATGACATGATTAATATTGACAATATTGAAAGGTTAGAAATGAGTTGCAAAAGCATGCATAAACATACATACATACATACATACATACATACATACATACATACATACATACATACATATAATTTTAAAGAAGAGTATATAGAGTGGCATGGAAGGTAGTAGAAAAGTAGAAAAAATAGTTGGAAAAAAAAGCTTCTGTTAGAACAGAGGCCCTTCCTTGATAGAAGGAACACTTGCCGTCATGTCATATCCTATCATGTTACATACCAGTCATTAAAACTGAGTGCCTTAACATTTCAATTACTGCAAATATTTTCAATAAAATATTAGCACTATATTGCGTTCCGTAGAGCAGTGGTCTCCAACCTTGGCAACTTTAAGACCTGTGGACTTCAACTCCCAGAGTTCCTCAGCCAGCCTAACTCAGCCTAGCTGGCTGAGGAACTCTGGGAGTTGAAGTCCACAAGTCTTAAAGTTGCCAAGGTTGGAGACCACTGCCGTAGAGGACTATAATATAAATACAAAGTAAAACTGTTCTACTTCCTTCTGTATAGATTGTCAGTTAAACTGAAAAAAAGTTGAAAGTTTCCAAACCAGAACAAGATGTGTTATATCGCATCAATTTATATATTTAAAATTATGCAATAGAAATATTGTATATATTTATGTCAGCATTCTTTATGTGCATAATTATGCAATTAGCATTTGTTCATTGTTGATGTTGTACCATGTCATTTGTGTAATTTTATTTAATGGAAATTCAGAGGGAAGTTTTTCCTTTTTTATTGAGCTGATTCATAAACACTATCAAGAAGCATAAATCAAACATGCATAGAAAAAATAATAAATAAAAACTATTACACATAAACATTCATATTTACCATATATGTAAAAGTTGCCAATAGAATATCTTTTGCAATGAAGGTAAAATAGAAAGTCCAGCCGAACTGATAGAATTGTGATTCCTGCCTCTGGTGCTTCATTTAATACTATGATATTTTCTAACATGGCATGAAGATGCCTTCTTAGCCACCTTTCAATTTTAAAATTATCTACAATGTTAGGCAATTATTTTTTAAACTGCTATAATTAATAAGGTCCTGGTTTTTAAAATTTAGGGTTGATCCCATGAATAAGTACAGTAACCACATTTCTGGAAAGCATTCAATTCTTTGTTTAATAATGATGCTTATCTCACTAATGCCATGCCAAGAGTATCACTTGATCACATGACCACCACAAATGAAGTAAAGATATGAAAAGCTGATTCATTTTCTTCTAGCATGTGTTATCAATAATTGTAAAGTTGCATATTCCTGTGGCATTCTAGAAAGCAAAATTAGTAGCTCTGCAATCATCTTTATTTTAAAAAATGCTTCTGGGTGTAAGCATTCATTATTTGGATGTATGTTTACATGCAAAGGATGGAAAGGGGGTATGCTGGATTGGTAGGAAAAAAACCAACCTGTGTGGATTTAACCTTACATTAGTTCCTGTGTGCTGATAAGTGAGTGTTTTATGACTAGTTATACCCATTATTTGGGGAGAACCCCAGGATCAACTTTCAGAACTTTCCTACTAGCCCAAAAGAGTTCTGTACTAAATTTGGATAGTATATATGGTCAGAAACATACTGAACATTAGAGATCTTTGCTCTTTAGCGTAACCCCCTTGAGAATGCTAGCACTTGGTTCTATATTCCAAAGATGACTGTATTTCCACAATTTTTGTATATATTTGGAATATGCAGTATATCTTAAATTCAAAGTAGGCCAAATGGTTTTATTATAACTTACAACACGAATAATATTTTCATCATCATACTTATAGTTGAATGTATTCAATGTTTGCACTGCAGGTACACTGACCCAGAATGAGATGATATTTAAGCGCCTCCACCTAGGTACTGTTTCATATGGAACAGACACAATGGATGAAATTCAAAATCATATTATCAATTCATATTCCCAGGTATTTAGTTTTTATTCTTACTTTCCTTACTGTAAGTTATGTTGTTAATAAAACCCAATACAAAAAAAGCTAGAGTACAGGTAGTCCTTGGCTTACAAATTTGTTTAGCGACCATTCGATGTTATAGTGGGATTGAAAAAAGTGACTTAGAACCAATTCTTGCCCTTACAATTGTCATAATACAAAATTCAATGCTTGGCAACTGGCATGCATTTATGGCAACTGCAGCATTCATCACACATGTGATCTTCCCACATGGCTTCTGACATGTAGAGTTATTCAGGGAAGCCAGATTCACTTAAAGACTGTGTAATTCACTTAACAAATGCAACAAAATTGGCACAACCTACTTAATAACCGCCTTACCTAACAATGAAAATTCTGGTCACACCTAGTTGCAAGTCAAGGACTACCCTGTAAAATAATAGTGCAATTGATATTTATTTATTTTGTAAATTATACTTTTGATTACATGATGAAAAATATTTCAAATCTACCTACATGAAAGACTTAACATGTATTAGTTCTCATAGATAAAATTTCAGCTTCAGCTTTGTATAGTTAAAGGATAAAACAATAACAAAGTTGCTTCAGACAGAATAGGACTACACAAGAATTACAAAACCGTTTGGTCTGTTTTCACTATAAAGATCTGAAAAGAGGCTATGCCTCTTGGAAGACAACCAATGGTGACAGTTCAGGTATTTGTGCCTCATCACATTTTTTTTTTGTCAGTCTGAACTGATATGCTGTTAATCAAAGGTTATCAAAGGAGTTGATAAAGTCAACTTTGCCTCAGGAGCATACAGCATGTTCTTGCTTCTGAGTGGCCTGAAATGTTCGTGGCACGACAAAACCGCGGTCCACTAAAGCATGCCCAATTAAAGCGCGTCGCTGACGTCATCAGCAGCGTGACAACAGCGACCGCGGAGAAAAAAAGGTGCTTTGAAAGCAAGCTGATTCACGTTAAGGTAAGGGTTAGGGTTAGGGTTAGGTTAAGGGTTAGGTTTAGAGTTAGGTTAAGCGTTAGGGTTAGGTTTAGGGTTAGGTTAAGGGTTAGCGTTAGGTTTAGCGTTAGGTTAAGGGTTAGGTTTAGGGTTAGGTTAAGGGTTAGGTTTAGGGGGGTTAGGTTTAGGTTTAGGGGTTAATTTTAGCTTTAGCGCTCACAGCGTGCTTTTTTCGTCGCGCTGTGATGACGTCAGGTACGCGGTTTCGTCGAGCGCGCTTTAGTCGACCGCGGTTTTGTGATGGAACCAAAATGTTCACTAAGCCCTGCACTTGTGTAATTTAAATGTCTGCTGTTTGCCTGGACAAGATAGAAACCAAGCAATAAGAGAGAAGCTGGGCAAAGGAGATTTCCTCAAAAGAATGCATCATATCATATTGATGGAGCTTTTTCATTGTAAGACCTGTTCATCCTCATATTCTAGGTGTCCATCGCATGCTACGATTTATCAAAGTATAGTAAATAATATTGTTTCAAATTATCTTTTTCTTGAAATAAGTGATATGTAAATTTAAAACTCTTTTGTAAAAATATTAATATATTTTCAGCGTGACTCTGATATCAAATAAATATATGCCCACTTAACCATAAATGCTCTAAGGGATATAAAGTATAGTTTCTTTTTTTTTCCTTCTTCTTGATCAACATAGATCATTGCCGTGAGTCCTTACATCAAATGTGTTAAATATACTAGTGTAATTTCTATGATAAGAGTAGCATATTTGGAAAAGCTGTTACATACACAAAACACTTGTTTCTTATCTTTTATTCCTAATAATGCTGGTAAGTGTGGGGAAAAGCTAAGATACTACTGTGTTTTATGCAAAATATTGAATTAACTTTCAAAATATTTAAACTAAAGACCTCTCAGCTTGTAGTCCATGATTTTCATAACCATTGTAATATATCAGCTACATAAGTTTTATTAGTTTTAATTAGGACTACTCCACATTGCCTCTTGTTCTGCTTATTTTACTGAACTTCAGCTTTCAGAATTAAAAAAATGAAATGTTGCCCAATGCACATGCTTATATATATAAGGATATTAATAAGCCAAAATTATTAAAAATAATTATAAATGGATTTGCATTCACATTCTGTACAACACATCTACATGTAAAAGACCAGTTGGCTATGTTGAGCTAAGATAGGATTAGTAATTTCATTTAGCACTTAAAATATTTTTAACACTTATATAATATAATATACATCTTTCTTAGATCACAGTATATAAGTTACAAAACTATGCAAGTATAAGAGACAAAAAGAAACCACATTAATGGAGAATGAAGTACGAAGTCTTTAATTTATGCAATACATTCCCATTATAAATCTAGCACTTTCAAGTGAGAATGCCACAACAGTTATGTAGAATCCAATATTCTTACTAAATAGTAAAGCATTTTTAAGGAGATATAATTTTCTTCACTTAAGTAAATTATTTTATTAAATGTCCCAATAATAAATTCATTTTTACCACGTTATAAATTAGGGGAAAATAATCTTCTATAAAAAAAATAGTTGCTTAATAGTTGCTTCAAAAAGCAACTCTTGTGCATTTATTTACTTAAGCAATAACTATTAATGCAACCAGTTATACAGTGGTTCTTGTATGGTATTGATTTTTCTCCCTTGTATGTGTTCAGTTTTATTAAGATGACAATAGTCAAGTAGGTCCCCTCTACTGAAGCACACAAATCTATTATAACCTGATTATATTTCCCCACTGGAAGCATTTTGTGATAGAGGGCATAATCTTTAATGGAATTTGTGTGAAATTAAATTACACAAGCATCAATAAACATAACATAATTCAGAAGGAGTAAATCTGCTTAATTTATTAGTAGTCGCAATGGCATCATGGTTAGTAGATTGCAAAGGCAAAGGTTTAAAACAATAGCTGAACGACAATGCCAAATGATCAGAAACTTAACCCTTTTATTAGACAGCACTGTAATTTGAGGGGTAAAATATTCTCAGTTCCGTGTTCGGTACATGAAATAAAAAAATGCTGGTTGCCAAACAGGATTTCAATGTTATTACCCTACAGAAAATCTAAAGTTATTTTGATAAAACTTGTGAGATGACAGAGATTGTAATCCAGTATAATTCTTTATTAGAACAGTAGCAACAGCAACATTAGCATGCATTGTCTTGCTTTTTAAATATACAGTTTTGTGAGTGCTGTAACAGCAGTGTGTATTCCCTAGAACAGTGGTTCTCAACCTTCCCAATGCCGCGACCCTTTAATATAGTTCCTCACGTTGTGGCCTCCAACCATAAAATTGGTGTCTCAGTTCCTAAGACTATCGAAAATATGTGTTTTCCAATGGTCTTTGGTGACCCCTGTGAAAAGATCGCTCAACCCCCCCAAAGGGGTCCCGACCCACAGGTTGAGAACCACTGCCCTAGAAATTCTTATTTGTGTGAGGCAATGTTTTTTGGTGATGTATTGGGTTGATTTTTAATACATTGTATGAATGAGTATCCTCTCTGTCTAAGATAAGAGGATCTGTGTGTGCCATTTTTGCTAGATCAAAGATCACACCAAGCTTTGCAGAGAATATTAAGAGTCCTCACTTCAAACAAAGGCCTTAGTTTAGAAAATGTTCAAGAACTTGTAGACTACAAACATAAGCAAGGCAAACATTTAGTAACCTAATTGCCATTCAAAATATAAAAGGGAACTAAATTTTGAACCATTCACTTGTAAGGGTCCCATATAGTTATATTTCTTGACAATATACCGGGCCATTTTTTGCAACTATGTTCTAAGGAATGGTTTAATTTTACTTTTCATAATATATAAGACACATATATTAAGGCACATGTTGAGATAAACTTAAAGCTACAAGCTTTTGTAGATTTTCAACATAACTCCTAAATGCACCTGTGCCTGACTCGTCTTTTGCGACTTGGCTTCCTGTTGTTCTTAAGCGGTGATGACATATGCCAGGAAAAGTAACATGAAAAGTCCCCTTAAGATTATTCCAAGATTGTCTTTACCTTAAAGCAATTCACCTCCTATTGCATGTATTCACATTAGTCCAAACATGGTAAAAATATTATGTTCTTTCCCAAACCACGTACATAAGGAAGCATATGGTTTTATCATGTTTCTTATTTGCACAGCCCTTCTCTTCACAGAAGAAGGGAATGAATAATATTTGTGTGCATCTGTGTGAAAACTTTGGTCTGAGGTTATGAATTTCGTATAGAAAGTTAAGCTTAGGTATTAAAAGAGGATGCATAATTAAAGAAGGGAACATTTGGCACAAAATTTAAATTTTAACAAAACATAGAACTTTATAATCCAGTTGTTCCAGAATGAAATGAAAGAAATTGATAGTTTTGTTTTATCTGAATGTTCTATTTATATTTCAAAGATGCATACACAGTCTACTGGAAACAGTACCAGCTCAACACCCTCCAGAAAGATGCAGTCCTCTACCCCTAAAGTTCGAAAAACGGTCAGCAATCGAATACACGAAGCAGTAAAAGCTATTGCATTGTGTCACAATGTTACACCTGTGTATGAATCCCGAACAGGAGTGACTGGAGAAACAGAATATGCAGAGGTAGATCAGGATTTCAGTGATGAAAATAGAACTTACCAAGCTTCAAGCCCTGATGAGGTAAGGTTGCCACAATTTAATATGCACAATTGTCAAATGAATACTATAACTGTTCTTAGAGCTTACAAGGTTTTCTGATGTGGCAGAATTAACAAATCATTTGGAGATGTGTTTTAATTTTGGCAGTACTGTTCAAAGCAATGACATATTTCTGAAGGTTCGTTGCAGCCACATAAAGTACTTTTCACATAAGTTCTTTCTGCTGGAGCCGATTTTTTGTTCACAGGGAATTATGCCAGTTATATACATTACATTTATTTGTGTCTAATCCATTTATTTGATTTATAATTACTGTGCATTTCTGTGGAATATTTATAAGCTCATATCAGGTATATTTTCAAATGTACCTTTTTATGTTGGGCTTCATAAGCCATTAACTTTAGCAAAGTGAAAATGTTCTGATCTGAAGATAGTCATTTCAGCATCCCAAGTTTGAAACAAAACGTATTCTGAAAGTTTGTCTTCAAACCATGAAACTGTGTGTTCTGAATGTAAAACAAAATATGAATGTGTCAAGGCACGTAAGTACCAAAAATATAAGTGGGCTGTTGCTTTGCTACTTGTATTTAAAACGTTCTTTTTCTGCCAAAGTTTTCCTGTCTTGCTAGCTTAGTGGCAGAGGCAAGTAGTGTCTGATTGATCTTGATTAGACTTTTCTGGTAATACATGTTATTCTAAATGGATTTTTAGCTTTTGAGACCATAATTATATTTTTAATGTTTCTTGTGGACATTTATTTTAATGTTTTTATTAACTATATTTTACACAATTTGAATGGTAGATAAGCATCCAGCTACTACCACCCTGCCACTGTTATGGACTTGGGTGGTGGGAAAAGGAACTAGCAGCCGATTCTTAGTTCCATTGTTAAATATAGCCAGGACACTTAAAATGTCTCAAGTTTATTCTGACAGAAACAGAACACTCAAAGCTTTGAGCAGGACTGTTTGTTCTAGAGATGAACCAAAACATATTTTTCTGCTTTTTGCACAGCTCTAATTTATTCCTCTTAACACTGTGTTTTCATTTATTGCTTTTATTCGACTTTAACATTGTTTTTGGATGTATAAACAGTTTTATATTCTTTGTAATCTACTATATTTTATGTACCCTTGTAAATTGGTATACTTAATTGGCTTTAATGTCTGAAAACTGATTTGAGGGAAACTGGACCATAAAGTACGCAAAAAGAAATGAAAGAGCAGATCAGTAGAGTGTAGTCTCCTGAATCTGGAGAGTGAAAGAATACAGGAAAACCTTGATTTGTGGTTTAAGTCTTGGCTGACTGAAAACATCTCACAAGTGACCAGAGATGACAATCACTGTGAAGAATGAAAAATGAGTGATTAGATGGTTCTTTACAGAAGGGAAGAACAGGAGATGACAATGAGTGTTCCTCTTGATCATAAAAAGACATCTCCCATGAGTTTGAGCACTGGGAGCCAAGGGAAATAACATCTTTGCTGTCAGCAGTGGCAGTCATTTAATCCAAAGAAGGTAAAACTCACCAGGTATCAAATTAAGCTTGCCATTTTGAGGGTATGGACATAAAGATTCTAGGAATCTCTAGCAGGCTGGGGGGAGCTGAGAAGCATCTACCTCCACAGAAATTGTGAATGTTGGTTTTTGTCAATGCATATTATTTTAAATGCTTAAGTCTCTGTTTAAAAG